GGATGTTTCAAAATGGAAAATGGCATTTAGATGAATCTACAATTTCATGTTGATTCCCATTAAACAAACTAGTCTTCAGAACCTTATTCCCAGAAAAAGAAAAAAATGTTTTTTTTGTTAAGCTGTACACACCTCTATGTTCTTCTTCTTTCCACCATACTGACGAACTTCGCCAGAAAGTCTCTGTACACAATCTAAGAAGAATGTTTCTTTCTGCATTCCTCTTTTTCGTATGTCCACTGCCATTTCATTAAGACTGTTGAGAACAAACACTGCTGTTTCAGGGTTCAGTGTCTTGCCTGGATAACCATTTAACATGCAGTATAAGTATTCATACATTTCCCTGCAAACAAACATATCTCAGTCAAGATGGCAACCTGGCTCAGATTCAAACCAAGTATATCCTGAATAGAATTCAAAAGTATTAGTATTTCAGGCAGCTTTCTCAATACAAATACACACCAGAGTAGTTCATCATGGGTAGTATATGCAAAATCATTCTGAATTACACTTAACAGTACAAGAACTATTCATCAGATTTCAAAATGGGTTACATGGATACATATGATGGATAAATAATGAATAACCATTATTAATAAATTACTGATTGGATCCATCTGTTAATTTACTTGAATAAAATTAATTTTTGTAGCAGTAAATCTGTCAGTATTTTAAATGAGCAAAATAAAACTGGACAGGTTAACTCACTGGTGCAAATTTTCAGAAAATAAGCTGCCAGACCTTGATACTGGTCATACTGACATGGTTTGTCATGTAAACTTCAGCTTTTGGGGATTTGACACGACTCAACCACATTAGTTAATGCTGTATACTGAACTCCAGCTATAGAAACCTAATGATCTTTCTCAGTCCTTCAAGGTAAACATCAGGCCCCCATCCTTTCAAACCACATCAGAATGCACAATCATTTTCTTATCTCAACATATGCAAATGACAGTAATATTAAATAAATAATTGACTGATTCATAATGGTAAACAGTTGAACTATTCCCCTTGTCAATTCCACACATTATGATTGATTTGTGGTTCACTTATGAAACTTTTTCTACCATTACATAGCATCAGAAAATAGTATAACAAACTGGTCAAAATCTGTGTGCGTTACTGCATAGATTTTGTTTACAGCTCTGATCACTGTTGAAAATTAAAAATATTTTAACAGTGATACACTGGAATGGGTATTCACTTCCTTAAAATTTGAACATGACAGTATCTGTAACTATCAAATTAAACAGGCTGGCTACCTACCTGTAATCCACTCCATTACAGTCTTCAGGTGGTGGATGATTTTCATATTTGGAGATGTACAAAAAGACTTTTGACAGAAGCTTCATCTGAGAGTAGCCTCCACCAGGCTCACTCTGTTCAAACATGTGCAGCCATTGGTCAATAGGAGCCCTGACTTCTGGAACACGTTTTGATGGTCCAGGTGGTCTTCCTGTTCTCTTCGACACACATTTCAGATTATCCTTGTTGCGTTTCTCACTGCAAGCTGAAGCTTGCATTGCAGTACGTGCTGCCTTCCACCACATACGAATTACCATTTTTATTTGTTCCTTGTTCTTGCCAGGTACAGCCTTAGTCAAGTTAACTATGTCACAGTGACCATACTTTTTCAGAGCATCTAGCAGTGCAACTTTTTCGTGATGTGGCCACTCATTAAAAGCTACAGACTGACTGTCTGAGAAATAACTATCAACTGGGCGTTTTCGTATTCTTTTTCCCCTCCCTCCATCTTCCTACAAGATAAAAGTCAGTGACGATTTGCACGTCAGTGAACATAAAGGACATGCTACGATGTGGTGAGGATTTGGGTGACGTGGATAAGGAGTATTTTATAACACTATGTCAGCAAAAATTTCATAATGGATGCACATTTTTCAATTACAAAAATTATAAACACACACACACATATCTTATAATACGGAACACCAATGCTGTATGCGTGTAGTAAACAATTGAAAAATCCAAGGCAACATGTTTTAATAACACTAAAAATGTGGCTTGGAATCACCAAAATAAAGGAAGTGTGAAAACATTATTTTCAAATAAAATGCACTGTATACTCTGCAATGACAATCAGGCACTTAAAATTTTCTATGTCACTAATTGAACTGCAAAGTTTGAGTATTTGTACAAATCCTGCAAATGCATTTAAAAAATTAACATACAATGACATCAGGGCTTGAACTTGGAAATGTATTTCTTGTATCAACACTAGCCCCATACCGTACTGACTTGTCTACCAGGAAACGGATGGAGCTTGCTTACATGCTTTTTATTAATCCAACTTAGAAAGTGCCTGGAATTAAATTTCTTCAAATTCATGACACAGATCACTGAACACTAAATAGCACTTTTTGCTCTAATAATTTGTTCTTCTTTTGGTAAAATTAAAGTAACTGATTCCCAATATTTCAACTGTAAATATATGTATTTTTGTCTGTGGTAGCAGTGTCAAACAGTACTACTTTAACTCCTTATATGATTTAATTACACTTTCCATTTTTGCAAACGATTCTAAAAATTCTTCGTCTTTAATTTTGAACTTGCTATACTGATGCAAGTGAGCCTTATGAATATATGACTTCCAAGCCTTATCAACAATGTTATTAAATGAATAATGAATCAAAGTATTATTTGTGGCTAAGGAAATAAATTTCTCCATATTCATGAATCTTCTGTTCTGGTGTAAGTGAAGACATCTTGAATCTTTGGGTATCCATTGTGGGTATAGATCATTATCATAAAATGGTAGCATAACAGAATCTTTCACATCAGACACACACAATCCCCGTGTCACAAGCAAGTTACTAACACAAGGACTGTACTGCACTAAAGAGTGCTGGGAATTATGAGTCAGTCGTGGTAATTTCATCTCCCAGTCAACTACAGGTTCATTTTCAAAGTAACTCACACGAAGTGTCTGCTTCATATGCCTTACCAATACATTCCAGTCAACATTAGCTTCGTACATGCAAGTTGCCTTAGGATAGTGTGGAGCTGACTTAATGGTGACAAATTTATACTGAGGATGTGGAGTCAGATGGGAAACAATGTCGTAAATTTTGCTTGACTCTGATCTTTCTAGTGGTTGCAATACTGATCCAATCTTAACTGCAATTAAATCATTTAAATCGTGAAAATCTGTGTTTTTATTTTTAAGTAAGTTTACACTCATTTTGTGGAGAAGATCATTTTGAAAAATAAGTAACATATCAGAGATGTCAAACAAATTTGCTATTGTAAGAACAGTATTATAATTCTGAATGACTACTTCGCCTGAACTGTAAGGAAGAACAACGGCATTCAGAAAACATTTAGTTGGGTACTCATCTCGAAGAGTTTCCATGATGTAACATCCCACTCCAGAACCTGTTCCACCAGCAGAGCTAAGAAGGCTCAATGTAGCAAGTAACCTATCACACCTCTCTACTTCCTTCCGCACACACTCCATAATCGTCTCTTCCAATTCTGGCCCTTTCGTCCCATGACCATAAGCCCAATTGTTCCCAGCACCACCACCATTGTGTGATACAAAATTTTTCTCATCATACTTCCATATAGAATCAGCAGCCCACTGCTTCTTGTTTACTTCAGCAATTACTTTTTGTTCTGTATCTACTAATACAGCTCTAGCTACATACTTATGTTCATCAGGTTTACTCCGAAACCATCTTTCTGTACCCTCATCAGAATAGTAACAATCTGGCATCATAAGATCTTGTGACAGAAGCGAAAAGAGACGATGGCCAGTTTGATTGCCACATTGTCCAAATTGTAGGGTTACTACCGACATTGTACAGTCGAAGATTATAAAGTCGTCAGGGACCAAGTATGGAATCTGTTCATATATCATGCACCACAAAAGAAACGTAAACATAAAAACAAACAACAAAAGTAAATTTCTACACTTCAACATAACCTGTGAAGACTAAACGCACCATGTTATTTGTACTGAACTCGCTGTCTTCTTTTTCGGCTTCCATACTAACTGCCCTTTCACAGCTGCAACTGGAATCGAGTAGGTGCCTCTAACTGCTACTAATGACTGGATTTTGGTAATCTGTGCTCGTACTGTCACAGCATGTTAACTTTGTATGTATATGGTAGTGTTGGAATCTTTCGAATTTTATCACATATATTAGAGATATTTGAGTGTGATTAGCAAAATATTGTTGACAAGTTGATAGTCGTGCAACAGACGCTAAAAATGATTCTAAGTAGCATGAACAAAATAAAAGTATCTTCACCACGCCTCCATATTGGAATCATCTGTGCTACAGACTTCACCGCAGATAATACCAGATTACACGCTATCAACATACACAGGAGGGAGAAAATTCCCAACCGTAAATAACTACCATTATCCTTAAATTTAATTTGGTTTGTGTTGAGCTTTGAGTGGTATATTAAGTTCCCCAGGGCACGTCCAGTGGTGGTAACCTGCTGCCGAAATTAGCCCTTCATTACCACCCTTGGGGACGGTGGGATAGACCGTTGGGGGAAGACTTAGACAGCTGCAGGTCTTTAGACATTAGCCGTAGTTATGTTTATGATGACGAGAAAACTACCAATACTCCAAACGCAAAACTGAATTCAATGAAGACCCACCAGTGGGATGCGACAGAGCTCTCAAGGAATAGTTGCATAAGAAGAGCACAGGTATTACGCAGGAAATCCAACACACACGTGTTATGAATGTTTCATTTTGTGTCTGATGTTTAAAAGGAAAAATACTAAACGTTCCCATATATAAAACATTCTTTACTTATTTCGACCACCTTCATACCAAAGAGGTAATACTTTATACTGTAGGATTTAAGGTTTATAATGAGGCTAAATATAGTTTTAGACACTCAATATTTAATGTTGAAAGTTCAACAGTTTTATAATCACCATAATATTCTGTTCCCAATAAACAAAACGAAATAACGTAGCGTTTGGCCTTGCACGTAATAAAATGCAGTTACTTCCTTTTTCCGATGACCAATGACTGTGAACTGTACATTCCGTCATCAAAGATGGCCGGCGTGAGTGTTTTTGCCTGCAGCGCAGTCGGTGCAGAAGTACAAAACCGTTCGGATATTGAAAAAGAGCGCCAGGCATGAAAATGGCTGGTGGAAGCAGAGACACCACGGAAGTGACATTAACAGATGACGACGATGATGAAGAGAGTGACAGTGATGAGGAACCGCACCGAATTACGCTCCAGGCACTGCAGCAAGTACCTGCACAGTCTGTTGTTGTGGACGATTCCAGCGACGTTCACGTCGGCCCGCGATTGACCTACAACGGACCAGTCATTGTCAATCAGATTTTACAGCTGACTGGTGAAGGCAGAGGTTTAAGCGATATTTCACAGCAGGGACTCCTGAGGCAGGCCATTACTGCGCCGGGTAATACTGCCGACCCGCTCAGTAACAACACGAAAGGTAGGAAGCGTCAATAAAGCCGATTTTTTTAGAAAAGGCCTTGTTGACCCGTTTTTATCGGCTGTAATCATCAGTGTTTCTGACGCATATAGTCTGCCTTGCAAATTGTTATGAATGTTCCGGAGGAACTTAGGCTTCCATCTTCAGGGTAGAAGTAAATCACATCTGCCGTAAATATGGATGCAGCAAATTGAAACTAAAACGTTGGTAATCACCAACAAGACCACACAGAATCACAACCTAGAAGATCACAATCCACATTTTCTCAACAATAAGAACTTCTTCCCAAACACTACTGTCAAATGGCTATAACTTCTGCTTTATATTCAGGAGGTCCTGTTTTCAAATCTCGGTCCGATGATAGGCTATCCTGCCTGACTTATGTAAATGTTCTTATCAGGTCTGACACAGAAAATGCTCGAGTAAGACAAAGTTGTGCTTGTTTCTTGTTCTTGACCGTGGCACTAGGCGAAGTGAATGATCAGCTCCGCTTTACGAACAGCGAAAGGCCCACCGATATCCTCGGATAGCAGGTTAGGTGGGCCTGAGAGCCGGTCTGGACGCGGTAGCAAAAAGAAAATCTCCAGTCTGTTCTCGGATTCAAAACCGCAGTCGTCCAGGCAAGTCACTTTTGACTGACCGATGGCATTACATCCTCCTTATTTACAAGTGTCTCGAGGTTCTTATCTGCTTTTCTCAGTCAGAGTTTGTTTACGTAGATAATAAAGAAGATCCACAAGACTGATAGATAACAAAACGCAGAGCATAGCAAACCCGCAGAGGGTGTGGAGAGTTGACATGAAGCTGTTGAGGGGTTCCACCCGTCATAGAGGCAACGCCTTCTTCCAGTCACCACTCATCACGGGGTCGGGACCATCTGTTCCACCCCTACGCATCCCCAGGACTCGTCCGAGAGGTATGGTCTCACAGAGCTCGTTTTAAGGATTCTAGCCTTCCTACAGTTGTCACGTATTATACAATTTCAGGGAAGACCTTTAGGCTATCCTCTCTACAGTCAGTTTATGATAAATGAAGCAGTGAAGCAAAAATGTTTAAAAGTCAACGTTAAAATCATTTAGTGATGATAATACAGGAAGCTGCGTAAATTAAATTGCAGTGAGCTCCAGTACGCTTATCTATAATTTTGTGAGCAAGAAACTAACGTCATCTTCAAACTATTTTCGAATACCTATTGAGAATTCAAAACGCTAAGATGCAAACGCGCGTGTGAAAAGCTTATGAGCTTTGATAGTGACTGCATTCAGGCACTCTTATGCATTGTTACATGGAAAAAAAATTTTTTTTATAAAATGTGAATCATTGTTCTTTATAACGTTCACTCGAAATATTACCCTTTAGTTTTGTCCGATTTTAACCAAAACTGAAATAAGTCGATACGTTTTAATAACAGTAGTAAATTTCAAGTTTAACGAAAGTTCGTCCAGCTAATCTCGAATGATGAAGCAAATAGACATATTTTTGCAACTTCGTTGCGACCGGGCCTAAAATGACGATAATATGCCTTCCACAACCGAATATTCTGTGATGAACACCCGTATAACATTTCTCATAGAATCTTATCTCAATGTATTTACTACGCCTTAATGACGTGATTACAAATTGGCACAACACTAATAATAACTGTCACCACGGTTCCCTCAAAAGTATTTCGGGCTGATTTCTTATCCAGAGTGTCGAATAGCGGTCGATGTTCATCGTCTGGGTTATAACGCGGTGTGGGATTGTAGTTACATACTTCCGCGAGCAATTTATATTTAGAGTTGCCTTCCTAGTTGCCATTTAGTATGTCCGGCCTTATCTGCGTTGTGCTGCCTATTATGAAAACATCCGTAGAGTATACCTTTATTATTAAGGACATAAGAGGGAAGTATAAAAATAATACCTCTGGGTTGAATGGCTATAACTAAGTATCTTGGAAGAAGGTAATGCCTTACAACCTCTTTTTGGATTGTATTGGTCCTGAATCTCGGCCATCTTTGAGTTTTTTTTATCTCCTTCAAATGGGGCAGGATGGCTTCCTTCCCAATCGTGATCGTTATCACCTTTTCCATCATATCTGAAGCAGTGGTAACAAAATCCATGCAGCTGAAACAGTGTTGTTTAATTGCGTAAGAATCAGTGAAGGGAAGACTGGAAAACAGAAGTGTTTATAATTATCTCTAACACTTGTAAATTATGAGGTAGAAAGATACGTGTGACAAACATGGAACAAAGTCCCTTGAAATATGCTGAGGTAAGGATAATTACTTTCCTTATATACTTTGACTCATACTTGTATTTACTCCCAGCTTTCTTTTAATTTTACTTTCGGTACTCTTTTTCCCATCTTTTATCTCTCTCGATTTTAAATTCAGAGTATGACTGCTACATTTCAGTTCTGAATGGTTTATCTTCTTTCCTTGAGGATTATACATAATTTGTTTGTGTAAATTGTAATATAATAATATATAATTTGTTTGCGTCACTCACTACTTCACGACCAAGACCAAGAAACCTCCGAAAAGGAGGCGGCTAAAACCCACAACAGGGTTGTAGAGCTGAGAAACAACAAACATATACATAATTTTACATATTATTTTTTATATTGGTATGAAACTTAATGAGTTCTAATGGCTGGACATATATTGAAGGGTTCATATTGTGGTCTTCTAGTTAAAGCCTTGCATGGTCTCATCAGTAGTTATCAAGCACTTGTGATTCGACACTATGTAGCCTTAGCTACTGACAGCATCATTAAATAAGCCACATACAAATCCATCACAACAAATGGTAAGCCTATTATGACAAAGCATACTGAACTATGTCCTACAAAAGTTGTTCCTAATTTGATGGCAGATATTTTCATACAATATTTCCTTCTTTCAGAGAACCAGTTTAACAATGAAGTTGGGACAAACCCTAATGCAGCACTCCGGGACCATGCCGGTGCAAATTTGCATCGGCAGACCACCACAACTCCAAAGAAGTCTGTCATCGTGCGGCTACTGTGGGTTTTTATTGTCATCATTTCATTCACGACTGTGTGTTTGATTACAGCATTTGCAATACAGAACAGTCAGTATGAGGAGCTGGTGTCTGTTGGCATGAAGTCCTCGTCACATTTCAATGCATCAGTTAGTGTGGGTAAGTGTTACATAAAACGAACACTCACTTAACAACACTGTGCATTTTGGGCAAGATGTTGACACTTGCGAGGCTGGATCATTCCTGGAATTGGTAAACAGAGTCTTATAATAATGCTTATGCTCACATGTGTGTATAATTATTACACCTTGAAAACACAATGAGAATTTTGGCCAACATGCCAAAATTGGTTATGAAGTAGTGATATGTTCATGTATTTTTGTATATCTACAAAAGTATGTTTGTTCTTAATTCAGTGGTTCTTGGAGTAACTTCCAATAATCACAAGTAAAAATAATCGTTCACCCATGGTCTGTAATATCCCTGAGGGACAGATAAGATTAAGAGGGAAAATAAAATATAACTAAAGAAATTAAACTGTCAGTACAGTAACAGTGAACTGCAGAAATATAAATAGCATAGGTCCTTCTTCTGAAATTTTGTGTACATCTGGTACCCTTAAGATAAGTACTCTCCGTTCAAAACCGTTTTGCAGGATTTGATCCAATGATGAAAACGCCAAGTTCAGAGCCCTTCCGACTGCCTGGAGGACACTATATCTATTCCAAGCAGGACTTGGGAGCTATCAAGGAATTGTGCAGTGAGCAGCTGGTACATCCAACTCCTGTAGTTGTCATCTCCCACACGACGACTCGACAATGCACCAGTTTTGATACGTGTTCAGAAGCCGCGAGACTGATTCAGTTGAATATCATTGGCAAAAGAGGGTCACAAAACAGTGCTAATGCAGCGGACATTGGCTACAATTTTCTGATAGGAGGTGATGGAAATGTCTATGAAGGTAAAGGATGGGATGAGATGTCCTCCCATAGAACACCAGAAGGTATACTGGGAATTTCTTTTATAGGGAATTATCATAAAGACAGGTTAACATATGGACAGATAGAAGCAGCTCAAGAACTTCTTGCATTGGGAGTGAAGTTAGAAAAACTGTCACCTTCCTACATATTGGTCGCACACTACCAGACTGCGTCGACAGATAGTCCAGGAAAAAATATTGTAAAGGTTATAGAGAAGTGGCCTCATTGGTCGCCCAGTTACCGAATTACATGATAATGTTAAATACGTGCAGTTGTGATTTTGCCATTCAAGGGAGATACGGATTCTCATACACGACCGTCTTCCAATATGCGGCTCACCTGACCTAAAATTGTATGTGCAGTTATATCTGTTCGCACATTTATGGCGTAATACTGCCGAGGACCATGTGCCACATCGTCATTTACATCTCTTTAGTTGTAATACCGTCGCAGTTACATGGACAGTATCTGGCAACATACTGAAAGTGACCACTTGTCATAAAAAAATTGACAGTCTGAGGGGTCAGAGGCCAAAGGTTTATTACCCAGTAATCTAATTAGTCTCACAGTGAAATAAGTTATATAAGTTATGTTCTATCGTAATTCATATATAATTTTCATTCACAAACATCATCCAAGGTAACATTTTATAAAATTATTTCCTGACATGATTAAGCATTACTGCCATCATCAGGAGCAGTACCAAATACAATAATAAGCATAGGAACTGTTAAATTTACAGACGTCTGTCTTCTGGGCTGTTGCACCGTGTAGTCTGGTAGAAGTTTACCGACGTTTCAGAGGTCCTTGCTGCCTCCATCATCAGACCCTGGACCTGTTAAACATCGGCAAACTTCTACCAGACTGCACGGTGCAACAACCCAGAAGACAGCTATCTTCAAACTCACTACCCTGAAAACCTGAAATCCTACATTTTAAATTTATGGTATTTTTTTTTTAGTCAATATAATGTCCAAATATTTTATGATTTTCTCAATTTTCTTTGTAAATTTAAAAACCAATTAAAGTTAATATGTGACATTTCAAGTGTATGGGATAACCATTATGTCTAATTCTCTGGAAATATATATGATAACCACATGATTAAATTGTTAATATATGCTATTTGTTGTCTATGTAACTTCTTTATGTTATCTTGACCCTTTTACTTTAATTAACATTCAAAACATAGTTGGACTTGTCACATATTGAAGGCATGGTCATAATCTCTTGTTTTTGTACTTGATTCTGTTATCTTGTGCCTCTGCCCCACTTGCTGTTATTTTAAGCCTGGTAGTGATTGTGTTTATTTTTCTGTAACATCATTTATGGAGTATATTATTTATTGTGCTGTCTGTGTTATGTCCTATTATCCGTAGATCATACCTGTTACCAGGGTGTTCAGTGTGTGGATTGAGTGCCATGCTCCATGGTGCTTTTGAGTAGAAATGAGATTGTATCTAATGGATAATGAATAAGTCTGACATATTTTAATTCTTGATACAACAATATGGACACAACAGGAATTATTCTGTCATGTTAGTTTTAATTTTACGTTATTTGTGTATTATAAAGTTCACGTGCTTCAAAATTGTCTACTCTAAGGCCCACAGAATTGAACCTTATGACACCAAAATATACAGTTAAGTTTCCGACATGAATAACGTCTCATGCCAAATAAAACTACCTCTAAAAACATTGACAAACTAGTAAAAAAGTAGTAAAGTTTACAACACAATCATGAAACTATTATAATTCATAATAGTGGACTTATTTATAGTACACTTTATGTAGGATGTACATAAATTTTTACAATTTAGGTTAAATAATTAAGAGGTAAATAAAACTTCTGCAAAAGTAAAACCATGTTAATTTTAACAACAAATATAACAACGATAACCATGTTCAGGGTTTATTTGTGGGTTTGAATCCCATTCATTGATATTTGTCATCATCTGAGGCCTTGCAGCGGGCTGATCACTCGTCCAGGGAGTCCTACAAAATGTGTCAAGATTTTTCAAGGTATGTATATGATTTAGTTAGCAGATTAAAAATATACTGTGTGATTAATTAATAAATCAGTTCGCAATTAGTATTGAATTTTCTAGCAGTACTTTTCTTCGTGAACTATTCTTTGCAGTGGAAGGAAGAAGGTTGTAAAAATAGACACCTAACAACAGTTTTAAGTAGATTATGAAGTGAACTTTTACGTTAAAGTCAACATACCACAATGCAAAGAAATCAATTGATACACAAAACATACGTTTATTGGTATATTTTGTAGGTTAAGAATTAAATTTCTACCATGACCAAGATACTAATTGAAAGCTTGGCGACTTGCGACACTTGTTGGCGATGATTCGAAGTTGTCGCATGGATCACGTAGAGAACTTCCTATTAGTCTTTCCACTATCTAGTCATACGTACAAAATTTAATTTTTCGTTCTGAACAGAGGGAAAGCTGTGTGTGTGTGTGTGTGTTGTTCCTTAAACCACTCTTTCACGTTACTGTATTCCAATCCAAACAAATGTTCGTCCTTGGTGACGCTAGTTACAAGTTGGTGCTTCGAGAGTGGGGATACCCCATCACACAATCTTGCAACGTCCAACTAGAAATGTCAGTCTGATGGAACTACTCTTGATGCGCGTGCTCTGTGCTTTCGGCTAATCATGGTTGGGTGAATGGGTGTGTAGCTCATAGCGTGTATGAGGAAGTTTGTTCTGTAGTGTTAGTTGTTTGACCAGATGTAAAATTACAATTACACGTCGAGTCTAAAGTGGCGATGCCTGTTTTGTTGTGGTTGAAGTGAGCATATGGTTGATTTTCAATGCCAGTCGACAACAACATCAATGATACGACAATAAATATGACTGCGTCCATTCCGAGTAGGAAAGCGGATATGCAGAAGAAAGACGTACTCGCAACTGATGACGGAAGCTGTACACACTCTAATGGAAGTAGTACCTCAGAAGACGAAGAAGATCCCGACTATGAAGGAGTTTCGACGCACGAAGTGTCTGAAGTTTCGACAGGTGCGTTATGCCTCAGTGGGTCCCCATCCAACTTCCACATGGAGAACAATAGTGATGTTCAGATTGGCCCCAGACTCCATTACAATGCCCCAGTCACTATCAACCAATTTGTTCATGTGCTGGGAAGCAACGAGGTCTCTCCAGATGGCATTCTGCAAGAGGCCGTTAGGGCGCCCATACACGGACTTGACGCAGAAGAAAGTAACATATCACAAGGTACGTTTAGTAGCTGTTATACTTCGAACGACAGAACCTCGCGAACCGAGTTTGTTACACGTGGTTGTACGAACCTTGCTAAGAAAAGAGGCTATTCGTTCTCGAGCTATTTATCTCGATTTTCTTATTATTGTTGCATAAACGAAGACAGCTTAATGGATGGAAGAGATGAAAAATTCTTACATAATTTTGGTTATAAAGCCTGAAGAAAATAACCACTTGAAAGACCTGTGAATAGATGTAGGACAATATTAAAATGGATTTTGATGGGAGTGGATGGATTAATTCATTTGGTTCAGAATCGTGACCCCGTGGTGGACTGTCGTGAATACAGCAACAAAGTTGTATGTTTCATAAAAGACGTAGAATTGGCTAGCCGAGAAACGATTAGCTTTCCTAGAAGGACAATTCGGGGTTTGTTTTAAATAAAAAGTTACAAAATTAATTTCGTTCGTACCATTGTTGCTTTTGAATAGTTTCGCTCTTTTGATATCTACTATACCTGTACAAGTACCAAAGTCCTAAACTGGCTTCCATTGTGCATGTACAGACCTGAATATAATGTAATTGTTTTTAACTGCCACTGGTAATTTAATCTGCTCGAGAGCAATATACACATATAAGTTTCTGTGCTAACAGTGGCTGTCTGTTGATATGAACGATATGTATTGCCTGCTTACAAGATTACACGTTGTGTATTAACGACTTTGCTGTTATCGATAATGAAACAAGTGAGCGTAGTGTAAGGAAAGTTTTGGAGAATCATATCAAGTTGTGAAGCTGTTTCCAGCATTGTAAGAAGGTGAACAGATTTATGGCTATCGTCTTAAATTCTTGAACATTTTGTTGGTTGGTAGTTTATTTAACCCTTTGAAGCCCTAAGGTTGTCTAATTAACATTTAAAAATTAAGTTATTGACAAAGAAAACAGCGTATAGCGTTTTCATAACGAAGACCATTGGTTAATGCTTAGAGAAATAATCACTATTTATTCTAAGAATCATGTGAAACTCATATACACTGTGTTCAAAATGCAGAGGTAAGTGGTGCATAGGTACGATCTGTATTATTAACCCACGATAAATAAAAATGCCAGTGTTATTTAGTATATTTATAATTTAATCGGGAGCATAGCGTTCATGTTAACCGTGTTATCCCGGCTAAGTCTTAAAAAGCCGACAAAATAAATTCTTCTGTCTTACTTTTGTGATTCACTGGAACAATGTTTCCATGAAATACGTTGACATCAGCAGAATGTTTAAAAATAGCGTCTGGATAAAAACGTTAATACTATGAATCTCGTCTTCCGAGAACTGTTCGTAGACGCGTGTTACGACAGCATTTTCCAGTTTGAACTTTGTAATGGGAACGTGTTGCGTTTTTTTAAGTTAGGAACTGGATTTTTAAATTTGACTCTGGGTTTTTGAAGATGTCAAACCGTAATTCGGTCAGTTGATGACTGTAGACGATGGTTACGGCTCCAGGAATTTGCTCCTACATGTTTTTTTTTTTCTGGTTTTCGATAATGATCGATTATGTCAGTAGTTAATTAATCCAGTAAATCAGTTAACTCTTACTGTCTTCATATATTACCCATAATGTAACGTGGCAATGGTAAAACATTACATAATGAGGGGCTTTAAAATTTGTACCTTTCACCAAATGTTATTTCGATAATCAGATCAAGAAGGAGAATGTGTAGAACTCATAGGGAGGTGAGAAATACATTGATTTTTTTGTGTTAATGGCGGCTACATGTTTCGATATATATAAATTGTCATCTTCGGACTTGTTATTTCAGTTTTTAAGTACAGTTAGTTTTGCACATGAATTTTAAAATTATTCCCTGGCTTTTTTTATTCTTCACGGAATATCATTGAAGTTACTAGAATAATTATACTGGGATTGGACAGACATATATCGCCTATAGTAAATCAACATTTTGATTGGTTAACGTCATTAAACAAACCCGAGGAATAGTTGGGAGGAAAATGACAGTCTAATTTAAGGATGTGAATATAATTGGAGAATCCATCGTCAGGCTTTTGTGATTCCGTTGGTATCATTTATATGAATTGGTAAAGGCTTGTTAAGGGAAACTTAACTTTGGACAGATGGTAGAACCGGCTGCTGACTGGGAAACCGAACAAGCCGTTTGTAATGCTTGCTGCTACTAGAGCAATTGTTTTGTGGGTGTCATATTTACATGACCTTCGGAATTCCTATGAGATAAGCATAGAATTCATACTGATATTCATTTGTAAAATATAATGACTAGCGTGGAAGTTTCTTTTTTGTAACAGTTGTTTTAATCCTATTAGAAACTTCTGTGCGAAATAAAAAAAACAGGAAGTCTTAAAATAGGACAGAAAACAAACTACTGCAGAAGTATGGGTATGTAGAAAGAAATGTACACAAAAGAAAATCATATATTCTGTCGTACATTTTGTAAATGAATAATATGCAACATGATTCTCGTCCACTGCCAAACTTTATGAACAAAGCTGTCCCCTCACGTCTGCGCTCGTAGTGTTTGAGAAAAATGTTATGAGGGGAATATTTGGATGTTTTAACAACAGAATTTTTCTCATGGTCACCCTGAAATATTCCCATCAGATCTGCGAGTAAATATAATTGCCCACCCCTGACTTGTGACTTACGTATTTTGTATTTGTCATTCAAGGGTTGTGACTCATTTCCCGTCTCAGAGCAAGGTCGTTTGTGACAGAGTTGCTGTAGTGGCATGGCAAAATTTATGATGGGCTAATTTCTAAATTAGTAACTAACTACTTAATTAACAAAAGTGCATGACATAGTCTTCCTCGGTGGAAATGCAGAAAATAAGAACCAGGGCTCGACCCACCGCATGCCTGTGCCAGAGGGAGCAACAGCGAAGGCCATACACGCATGCGTGTCTGCATTAAAATACAGGTATTCCAAAAAGATGTATACACGATTCTGGCTAATGTAATGGTTGTAGAAATCATTTTGGGGCAACCTGTACTGCGAAAATTCATTGTGCTTAAAATCTTAGAAACAAGTACGCTATATATATAGTCGATTATAACTTGCTTGGAGTAGTGACTGAAGTCAAAGCGGAGGTATTACGTAATTACTTTTCTGTCTGGCATCTGCTGTGGGAAACCTTATCAGTGTAGCAAAGTTGGTTGACGTTTGCGCTTGGCGAGTCGTGTAAACAGAGATTGAGAGCTTTATTTACATTGTGCATGAGAATCATAGCAGTCAGCCGCGTTTTTTTTACGATGTCTATGTTGCCATACTGCATACTCGTATACTTGTTCGAGAGTTTCCCTCCATGGGCTGAAGTTTTAGAATTGTACCCGGTTTGACCCGAGGACCGTTTGGTCCGAACCAGCCCGAATGAAGCCCGATCTATTTATTTTTAATTGCCATTAATACTTGAATGAATTATTTAACAACGCTCTAAAAATGTCACTGATTGTTTTACCGTTTGGAGAACGGTTCATAGATGTTGGACATTTTGTTTTGAAACATGGGTGTTCCCCATTGCGATGGACTTGCTACTGTAACCATGTTTTATTTTCGTTCTTATCATCTTGAATGTAACCATTGAGAATTGGACCTGTGTTCGTATGACATTTCTGATAGGGAATGATCTCTGAAATAAGACCAGTGAAGTAACCAGACTTGTGACGTAGAAGCATTAGGAGAGTTAACTGTGCGGTCTCTTTGGCATATAGGGGTTCCGATCACTTTTTTATAAATTACTTTTTACTGTCACATTTAGTTTGGTTCATGTTTGTATATTTTGAGTGTCATTACATTAATTTGTAGATGCAAATAATCGCACTAACACAGAATTAATTCTTGTAACAGAACAACAGCGACCATGAAATTTTTTTTGTTGGTTCTAAGCAACTGATTATATATAATGATCCAGTGACATATAACAATATTTTCTAGCAGAAGAATACCAAAAATTCTAAAATCTAATTATTCAGAACCCAAATGTGAGTGTTTTTAACTCTCTGTCGTCTGTTTTACAGCCACACTGATTGGCTCCATTCAGAATCCTCATGGCGAATCTCATCATCATACTGCAGCCGCAGCAAAGTATAACAAGATGGCCTGTCTCTGCCTTCACTGGCGGATCTTTCTGCCAACTCTGGCTGTCATCGTGCTGCTGGTGATAATTCTAACAGCCATTATCATTCACTTTTCTTCCAGTAGTAGAGATGATCTGCCGAAACAGACTTTTTATCCTGCTCCCGAAGGTAATGCCTGATACAAGTTCTCAGTACAAATTATATACACAGCAGTCTTCCACTTTACTCAACTTTCATGCCTGCCTTCAATTTCAGAGTTTAGTAGAATGGAGTTGACACCATTTCAATTTCCTTTTCGGAATGGATAATGAAATATACTTGTCATCTTATAATGCATGAATGTGTGCTTTGCTTTCTAATGTGCTCTGATCCTTGTTGATTGAAATGAAAAACTCTATAGTTCTTAAATGGGTTACAGAACAACAATGAAATCCTAATACAACACTGCCAAGAGGTCTCACCATTTACAGCAAAGAGAAATTGAGATATCTGAAACTAAGATTTGAAAGACAAATGCTTCATTGTCAAATCGCATACAGCAACGTCAGCTTGCTGCAGGCTGCATGTTCTGCTCAGACGAGCGACTTCCAAGGTTCGCACATGGGAGGTGGTCTTCACCTTACAGATACCGATTACAGCTTCGTGGTAAATGGGATTGTAAACGTGTATGAGGGAAGAGAATGAGGCTTTGTGAGGCATTGTAATATCAGAATATCTGTCATTGGTAATTTTGTCCATGATTTGCTAAAAAATTATCAGATAAGAGCAGTGCAGGAAGTTATGAAACTGTTAAAGTTTACGAAAACTACAAACTATGTGGCAATGAATGACACATGCCACATTTAATCCTGGAGTGGTTGTGTATGATTCATTAAAAAAAAAAAGACCATGTCTGGAGACCTACACGTGGTGATACATGTGCTCTTATCATAAAAGTGTTATACTTTATTTAACTTGTGACAGATTGAACTTATTCACTCACTCTTATCATGACTGTTTCCAGAGTTGTTTACGTCCATTAGAAATAAATATGCCATATTTTCAGAGTTTTTTTTTTGTTAAGTAATGTAGACTCTGTTCCCCGATAGGACTGCAGCAGAATTGAGATATCTTAATTTTCTTGCTGTCAGATAGCAACATTTTAGTGTTTATTCCTTGTGGTGATTTATGTGATCATTGCACACCCTTTCCTTAAAATCAATAATGAAGACTGTCTTTGGTCGAAGAACTTTATGCAGTTCTAAGAAGAGAAATTGTCTGAAAAACCTTCAGAGAAGAACTGACATTACAGATTTGATGAAGGGTCTTGAACAAACAATGGTGTGGATTTTTCCTTTAATTAATTGTGTTAATTATGTTTCAACAGTCATAAATAAATTATTTCTGATTGCTGTCAGCTGCAAGATGATGGACATCTGTTCATATGTGTTAAGTGCGTACTAAATTTTATGTGACGCCTTGTGCCATGGAATCTCCAACTAAAATCAAGAAGTACTCATTATTGTGCCATTAATAGAATATGAAATGTGAATTTATGTTTTATTTTAATTGCCTATTTTCTTAATTTAATGTGAATCTCAGAAGTACATATTAAATTTAATCTTTCATACCTGGGAAATTACTAATGATAGGACTGCATGAGAACTTGACTGCTTTTACTTACATTGTGGACCTAATTTGTAAGGCCAATATACCTCATAGTCAATAATATTATGGAGCCACATTTATGAAATATCAAACATAGGAACAGCATTACTAACAGACAGATTTCAGTAGCTTCATATGTATACATTACTAAATCTTGAATATGCGTTTAAAAGCTTTAGCCAGTACACAATATCTTTAACTTTATGCTGTCTATTTTCAATTCCTGTATTCTTTCTTCTATGGATCTCCAGTCCGTATTCGATCCATGACCTCCTCAATTCTCCTCTTCCATTCGGTCCTCTGTTAGGTCCGTCTGTCCGAGGCTTTGATTGAGGTTTCGAAACATCTTCCTTTTTACGGTGCAAGGTTGTTAGCCTTGCGACCAACCCCCAACCTGGAGGACCAGGGTACCTGTCTTAGTCTGACCTCTCCCCCTCGACCAATCTGGCTAGGGAGGCCCTACCAGTAGCTATGCTACCACCAGCATAGCTCTTGGGATCACTGAGGTACTCAAGCCCCACCACCACAGCAAGGTGCAGATACCATTAAATGAGGATTCCTGTATTTCCACACCATAATGTCTGACGTGTGATTGGGATAGTATCTGGAATTGTAATGGCGTTCTTAAGTAAGAATTTATCCTGTCATATAATTAAGGAGAGTAACTGCTTTCTTGTTTAACCTTTATTTTATGTGCATCAAGACAAGTGCATTGCATGCTAATTCTAGCTGGCAGCCTGTTGGTATCGGGGTGTGAATCGCCAGCTGCGATATGGTAAAAGTTTAGAGAACAAGATGTCATTGTACTGTCTGTCATTTAACTTGCTTCTGATATTAGCAGTGCCACGAAGGAAATTTGACACACTTCATGCATGCTCTGCTCTATACTACCATTCAAAACAACATTTCTCCGTTGTAAACAGTGTATGAGCATTTGCACACGTAACAGCGCAGTGAACTCCACCACGCAGAATGTATGTTGATTTACTGTCCCATTACTTTAGTAAAACCAAAAACAGGCAGATTCAAAATCACTACCATACATTACAAATATGAAGAAAATTGACGTGGACAATACCTTGTGTTGTTACAATTTATGAATCACAGTCGAATGAACTAAGCTGATTTTATTTTCTTTTATCCAGTAAACACTGGATGTTCAAGGGGTGCAAGTCTCTGAAATTATATAGGTTATGTTAATTCCAGGGCTTGTAGTAAATACATCATATAATTAAAATCGAAACTTACATTTAACTTAAAATGTAATGTAAAGGAATTTTACTTACATTAGATGAAATGGTAACACTTTTACTACCACGTCTGTCTGTAATTTGATCTCTACTAATCACAGCCTCTAACTGCACGTTCCATATTTAAAATTGTTATTATGAACATTATTTACTTATTTGGATGACTTATAATAGTGTCTGCTTATTCATAATATTGTGCCGTACATTTTAATCAGTTTATTTTTGACAGTCCTGCATTATTTACAGATCCAGAACCAAACCCCAATACAACACTACCAGGAGATCATGTTATATACTCCAAAGAAGACTGGTATGGTGTAGCACCAAAATTTGAAAGGCAGCTTAAACACCCAACACCATTCGTTGTCATTTCCCACACAGCAACGCCAGCTTGCTATAGTCCAGTTGTTTGTGCAGCTCGGATGAGGAACTTCCAAGATGTACACATGGGAGACTCTCATAACTTTCCAGATATTGGTTATAGCTTCGTGGTCGGTGGCGACGGAAATGTGTACGTGGGAAGAGGATGGGATGCCACAAACATGCATTCTGGTTTTGTGAAACGATGTAATATCGGAATATCTTTCATTGGTAATTTCGTTCATGATACACCAACAAATGGTCAGATACAAGCAGTGCAGGAACTTATAAAGCTTGGAGTGAGTCTAGGAAAGATTGACAAAAACTATAAATTGGTGGCAATGAACGAGACATTTACCACATTAAGTCCTGGAGTGGTTCTATATGGTATTATTGCCAAATGGCCTCATTTCTGGAAGCCTAGTCATGATGATATTGGTATGTGTCCATATACGGTATAGTGTTAGGAATGTGTGGTAATTTCTGTAAAAGTTAGGTAAGATTTTAAGTTTTCACGGCAGTGAGTATGAAGATTTCTGTCTTCTGCGTTGTTGCGCCGTGTAGTCTGGTTGGTGGCCAAGTGAAAGACTGCTTTTTTTATGGCTCAATCCTGAAGAATTTGAAGTCCATTATTTCATCAAATCCACTAGACTAGTTATTTTTAATATGCAGAAAGGGAATTTTATAGGATTATGATTGCAATAAAGAATTTTTAAACACCTGATAATTTCTCTAAACACTGGACTGGTACAAAAAAAAATTTCTCTCTTTCTACTTTTGGGGATGGTGAAGTTTGACAGCCTGGTGTATGACACCATATTTTAATTGACATTTCTGTACCGATGTTTACTTTCACATCCTTTGCTCCTTCATGAATATATACTTTGAGTGATGGAATTAAGATGGGCTGAACAAGAAGCATGCAAGGAAGAAACAAGAAATACATGTACAGTTTTTGTTTAGAAACCCATGTAGAATACCTAGGTGGAGATGGATAATGCTAGAATTAATCTTAGGGAAGTAGATCATGAACATATAAATGGCTTCAACTGGCTTCGGAGATCTAATGTTGCACATCTGTATGACTTAAGAAACTTAAGGTTTCATAATAGCAGCAGTTTGGTGAATCATAACAGCAAAGTTCTATTGGTCTGCTGTATAGTTAGAAGAGAGAGGTAATTGCACCCATTTAAGAAAAAGTTTAAAATAAATTCAAATTAAAAATATTTTATTAAGTAGAGTATTAAGAAAGATCATGTCTTCATTCCTGTATACATTCAAGAAACAACTCATATTTTATTACAGAGCAGTTAAATAAAAACTTTTCGTTGGTAACTAGTACCCAATGGGTATGGGCAATGAAAGAGGTATTGGATTATGGTTTTCACTTATCACACAAATGATTATGTAACCAATAGAACTTGTAACACATCTTAATCATAGTTTATCTTGCATTTCCTTTTTCTCTTAAGAGTATATTGGCCTCTTGAGCAATTTCTGTGCATCCCTACATTCATTCAGTCTCTGCTTTACTTGCCTCTTTAGAGATCGCTGGTTTTCAAGTTTCTTTTGGCATTGTTTTCACAGGACTCGATGTCCATATTCTAGATTTTTGTTGCCGTGTTTATTAAGATATAATGCTCCACAAGGTGATGGGACAGAAGAAATAGCTGCTGTGGTACCACTGTGGAGAACTTCCAGTTGCATGAGTGTTATGTTCTTGATTTTTTACAGGGATGTCCGTTAGATCATGCTAATGGTCTTGGAGAGTTTCTGTCATGGATGCATCGGCTGTTTCTCCACGACTGCCATAGGACAGCTCTTGAATAGGAACATGTGCTTAATTTTCTCTCTTATCCAGCAAATTATTAGAAATTATGTAATCTTTGTTAGGGAAAGTAGGTTCAAGGCCAGGTACCACTTCTTTTTAAACCTCAGATAGTTTTTTCAATAGTAGCAATTCTGTGGAAAGCTTCCATGAAGATTAAAACTAACTCAGAAAGTGTGATCTTCAAGGGCCAAAGAATGGCATGTAGTTGCTTTGTATAATGGATGTAAAGCAGTGAAGTGTTTTTAACAGATATTGACATAGTATTTTGTCATTTAGCCACTCTCACAACAGTGATACACAGCACCAGGATATCCATCTTTTTCAAGCTTGGAAGAAATTGCTTTTCTGGTAGTACCACATATATGAACAGAGATGGGATATAGTGATCTACAGCACTGAAAGCACAACAAATACATGTGTGCCTCTTCTCCAACTAGTCATGATACCCATCTCTTTTATTCCTTTTGGTGATGTATGTGGCCTAGAGCGTGAAATGTACATGTTCTAATCTCATCTACAGTATTCAATTCTTTTACTTGGAAATTGTGTTTGACTGTCACAAATTCAAGATTAGAGTAGGACTTTTTCTTGCTGAGAACAGGTGTTTAATTTGAAGAAGTTGCGCTTTTTTTCTCTCCTTTTATATATATATATATATACACACACATAGATAGATAGATTGGGGTGTCTTTTGAGAAAATCCATGAGCCAGTCTTTCTGTGCAAGAATGTTTGCTTTGGGAGAAATTTTCTTGTGTTGTTTCTGCATACACATTTGCCAGACACCTCTGTTTAGAGGGTGTAACCCCATAAGAAAACTTTAGCAATATGACTTACAATGTCATTTTCATCCTGTGCAGCAAAAACATATTTTCTGAGGGCAAACCAAAAATATTTCCTGCTTTATGTTTTGCGATATTGCAACCCTAGAAACGTTCTGATTTAACTGTCCATATCCTGTATCATAGATGGTTAAAACGTTAAAGGCTGCTGCATTGTTTGTATAACGTACAATATAGATGGGTTTCAGGGTTGCTGCATTGTTTTGAAGGCTACGGCATAATTGGAGCTGCTATATTGTTTCCACGTACGACTGCGGAGATGGCTTTCAGGGCTACGGAATTGTTTCCAAAATTATGGCATAGATGGCTGCAGGTATTAAGGCTGCTCCATTTTTCCACTATCCATGAGTATTTTTTCCTTTTTTACTCTGTAGGAAGCATCCGTAGAAATTTCGATTCATTTAATAGGAGATGGTTTAAAATAATAATAATATGAATTCTATAATTTTATCATTTCAGTATGTGGAGTAATGGCACTCTGCAAATTTCGGTTGCAAATGAACGAATCAATACGACTGTAACCGAAGTTGACCGACACAAAAAATTCCTGTTCGTTTCGTACTTGTTATGTGTTATGTTCGCCATGATGTTGCTGTGAAATTGTAATCTAAAATATTCATCCCGATGTTGGACTTAGGCCTTTATCAATGTAGTAATCACACTTTCATCAATAGTAGATCCCAGGGAAGCATTTCGTGGATACCAAAGAAAGCTTCAAACGTGTTTGAAGCTTTCGAGGCCGTATTCATGGAACTATGAACCTGGACTCGTTGTCTTTTACTTTGTCACAAATAAGTTATTTGGTTGCAAATTTAACAAAGAAAAATTATAAACAAAGTACTCAGGAATTATCATACGTAAGTACAATCAATGTCTAGCCTGTAATTATCTTGCTAAACCGTGTAAATCCTTTGCAGTGTAAGGATTACGCTTGTGGTTTGCAAAGGAAGTGTTCATTGCTTTGTGGCTAACGCAGCGTTGTAGTTGTTTAAGCCTTAATTTGTAGTATTGTGTCCATTCCATATTGTATGTTTGTGGCTTCAACTTGTGTACAAGTGCTAGTAATATAAATGCATGCTTTCTTTTGTGGTTTCTATTAACAATGTTTTCATTGTATTGGTGCATGTTCCACCATTTCCAAGGTGGTGGAATATAAAATAAAAATCCAGTGCCATAAACTCTTTAATTGGGAATTAAGGTTGTTATTACCTCAAATCAGGAGTGTTTATATTCAGTTTATAGTGTGAACATCTGTTATTTGTAGAAGTATAGAAATAAACTACTTACACTTCTGATTGATTTATTGTGGGGTTGTCCTGGGTTTGTGAAGCTTCATGATTTTTGCTCTTCATCAAATACCATGAGCTCAAGAAGGTTCATATGAACAAAACATGTTCTATTCTCAATGGAAACAGACAAAATGTTTGGAGAGTCTCATGGGTTGTGGCTACTTCAGACCTGGGATTGATTAGAGGATTATACATTGCATCTGCTGGCATGGTTATATGTAACTCTCATATCCTGGATCCCAGCAGGAACTACATGACCAGCTGTTAAGTACTACAAGATTTTCCCAATATGAGTCCAGTAATACTCAATAAAAACAGAGTAAACATATCTATATTACAAGTGATACTAAAAATTATGTCTCTACACATATACACACTTACATTCTACCATTTAATTAAGCTGAAATCCATCGCTATGTTGCTTTGGCCACTGACGATTTCAAGATTCCAGTCTCTTAGTCAAGGCAACTCATTTATTTCTATGGTGTTTTTTCTAATGTAGCCTTTTAAGTTGTCTAGTTTTTCTTTGGTTAGCATACAGCATTTTGAACAGGTTTTTTGTCCAGAAGTTACACAATATACCTGACTTTGTTAATAAGTTTATGGATGATTATTTTGCTTGGAACAGTGATCCCTGATAATTTATGATGAAATTGTCTGTGACCTTTCCTAACAGAACCATATTTAACATATGCCTACAGAAATACATGCTATTAACCATATCTACATTCATAACAGTAACCAGTACTTCACATGATGTTAGTCACACCTGCACTGTTATATGATTAATTTTATCGGCAGTTGCTGTTAGTATTTGATGATGAATCTTGTGGCTCCTGCTGGGAGCTGGGATGAGAGTACTGGATGTAAGCATACCAGTACCGCACTGTAGAGTGGGGTGGATTTAACTGGCTGAGGATATGGCCAAGTTGCTATCCATTGAGATGAAATCTTAGGTTCTGTATTGAATCCATTGAAGGCATGAATAACTACCTGTTCCTGAAGAAAGACACATTTACATTTTAAGTGTCTGTATATGTCACATGCTTGTATGTACATGTAATTTGGTTTGATTATGATAAAGTTGCCTTATCTATTATGGCAGTGACACGATGCAGCACGTTCATAAATGTGTTGAATGCACCTTAAATATTGTTTTAAAATAATAAGATCAAGTAGAAGTCTGACCAACTTGGAGCTGGAAAAATTTGAAAGTTTTAACAAAATATTTTATTTCTTTGCTAGTTGGTGGCATTATACAGTCTCGAGGCAGATAGACACTTGCTGCGTTGTCTCTTCTCACACATAGACTTCAGTGCTGAGGGGAGCAAAACCAGCAGCAGCAAAGATTTCCATCAGATCCAGCTGCTGGTCCAGGAGTGTGTGGCCTTGTTGACAAAGCCCACTCTCATCTCAAACCTTTGTTACGCACTTGATAATCCTCTGCATCATCAGAAGGTATGGTATCTTGGTATTGTCTGTGTATGTGCGTCTGGATTCTTAAGTGATGTCTTCCAGTTCCCAAATCCATTCCCCTCATTTCTAGATAATTATTCAAAATTACTATTTTTCTTTGTTCAGGAAGATATGTGAAACAGAAAGTATGCTACCTGACTGTTAAAAAGGCCTGTTGGTTAAATTTCCAAAGAAAGGGGGTGTCACCAACTGCAGTAATTGGTGAGGAATTACAATTGTCAGTCCCAAGTACAGTGTTCATGCATGTAATACAGAACAGAATAAGAGACCACATTGATACATGTCTGCAGAGAGAACAAGTCTACTTTAGAAGCAGTCGATTGCGCACAGACCGGATAAACACCTTAAGGATCATAACTGAGCAGAGCAGTGAGTTTATAGCAAACCTATATCTTGTGTTCATAGACTTTGAAGAAGCTTTGGACTTATTATTATGATCTTGAGGATGAAGTGAAATTTTTAGGACTGAAGGTGAATTCTGGGAAATCAACATGAATGTCCAGATTCAACTGCAGTTAAGCAGCAATTATATTGAAGCAGTTGAAGGGTTCACATGCCTTGGCAGTGTACTTCCAATAGATGGGGGGGGAGGGGGGAGGTATTAGGCAGCATATTAAGAAAGCCAGTGCAGCATTTGTCCAGCTGAACCCAGTGTGGAGAGCCAGGGAGATCACAACTACTATACTTCAAATTTTAAGAAAAAATGTCAAAATTCTTTATCTCTGTGGCTGTGAAACCTGGGAAGGCACCTCTGATATCACCAGTAGAATCCAAGTCATCATAAAATCCTCCACGTTTTTTGGCCAACTGTAATATGTAATGAAGAACCAGTCGCAATCCATATTAAACACAGAAAGTGGAGATGGATCGGGTGCACACTACAAAAGAAACAGGACACGGTCGAGAAGCAAGCACTCTACTGGAACCAACAGGGTAAATGAAAATGAGGAAGACCAAAAATGAATTGGCGGTGAAGTGTGGAGGAAGAGGTGAGGAAAGATCTGGAGGCAGCTGAGAACCTCAGCCAGGAATAGAATTCATTGGTGCTGCTTTGTAGAGGCCCTGTGATCTGGAAAAGAGCAATAGGACTAAAGGAAAACAAAAGCTATTTTTCTTGCCTTATTTTTTTCCAATATCCATCACCATTGTAGGCATATCATTATTTATATATTTATATGTGCCTTTTCCACATTAACCTTTTAATTCCACTTTCTCCTGTACCTGTATTATATAAGTGTCAGTTTCATGTTTGTTTATTTGTTTTCTGGCACTTACACATGAGATGTTTAAGTGGATGTGGATCATGGGACAAACTATGTATTTATATTTGTACTAGAAACAAGTATTGTATTTGTTCTATGATCTGTTCTGCATCCTTGGCTTAGGCCTATGAAGGATCTGTGGAATGTGAATAAATTCTATTCTATTCTAACTGCATATTTTATCAGTGTTTTATATTTATATTACAGAGTAATTTTAATCACATATATTTATGTTGTAGCTTAAATATTTACATTTATAATGAAATATGGTGTGGACTAAATAGAAAGATATGTTAACAGAGAAGGGTTGAAGAGATAAGTGTGGAATGGATGGGAGAGAAATATTTGATTATGGGGTAAGTATGTGCAGTTTCAGATATGTATCCATCATCCCAAAATCCAGAAGGTCCTAAAAATCTGTAATTTTCCTGGTGATTTTTAAGGGGCATTTTCCTACACTTGTCATTCATAAAAGTGGTGCATCTCAGTTCTTCCCCTCTCCATGACGTGTGAGTGGTGCCACTGTGGGTGGTCTTTTTACTGCTAGTAGAAGTCAGCTTGCTTGTTTGCACTAGTTTAGTCATTTCTTAGGAAATACTGGAGGATTTGACAGTTAAGTTTTTATTTATTACCCTTTAAAATATCTAAAAGGCCAACATGTTCTTAGGATTGTAGAAATACTTGTCACTTAGCATAAAAAAGAAAGTTGAGTTATTGATGAAGATTCAAAATCCAGGCTTTTCAGATAAAGGGTCAAATACTTTTTTTTTACAGTTAAAGGAAAGGATGGACTTGTAATGTATTTTTGTTGTGTTTACTTTTATTGATTCTATCCTACTGACCTAAGCCTTGATTTTTAACTGTTTCAATACAACCTAAAATAAAAGTATGGATATACAACTTTGCAGTCAAAATAGCATATTTCATGTTCAGATTAAATGTTTTAAGAATCCTTTCAGTGCCTGGCATAAGGATAACGAGATAATATGCCTTTAACTAGCGTAACCAAAGCTACTGTAACTTAAGATAGAACGTTGTTATTGATCTTCAACACCGTTATGAAAATTGTTTTGATGCCATGTTGGAATCACCAGTTAAGATGTAAATGCCCATGTTTTAGTATATCTGTTCTGGTAGGAAATATTTTTGGGACGCATTTGGATATTGGGTAGAAACTGTAAATGATTTTGTTTTTGTTATATATCTTATGCACTAATATGACTGACTGTATTTCAGACTCTGAGACCTTCTGCACAGCTGTTTCCTCAGTTGAGCAAAGTATTGAAACTTACACCAGTACAAGAAGTAGTATTTGCCCTAGCTCTTCTGCATTCATCAAATCCAGATACACAGAATTTTGCATCACAGTTTGTGAAACTGAAGTTACCTGATTTAATACGATCATATATTGATACTGGTAAGTTTTCCAGTTGTGGATTAATTTTATGTAGAGAAACATACTTTATAAGATCAGTGTTTATGGGATTGTTATTGGTTCAGTTATTCTAAGTCTATTTGCTTCTGTATCATACATTTATGAATATACCAATCAGCACGAGTGAACAATTTTGATGGATGTTATTTTCTTAAACTTCATCCTGTATTTTGTGTGGAACCTTGCAAAGTGGTGAAGGGGGTGACAGCTTTTGTAGTGAAAATTCATTGTATTTTGTCACATTGACTTGAAGAAGGTTAAAATAGCTCATATTCAAGCTGGGGTGTTGTAAAACATGGAATTTCACGAGGTTTAATACTTGGCCCTGTGCTTTCTTTCATGTTGTCGTATAAGCAAAGAATATTTGTCAGTGTTTGTAACATATTTTATATGAGCTAAGCAACCCAGTGACCATGTGTCATTTTATAACAAGTTTATAAAAGTTTATTGATTGAAAAATTATATGCATCCAGTCGTAAATGCTCAGTCTGTTCTTATACTTTTTTCTGATCATGATTTGCATCCAGAAATTGAGTTCTTTTTACAGAGATCAAGTTTTACAATAAGCTTGCATCAACCGTTAAAAGTTTACATCATGATATGTATGTATATGAGATTACCTAGCTCATTTCTTCTGCTTGGTTATAAAAGAGTTTGTTTTAATTTAAAATTTTTGAGTTTCAAAGTGGTACAACTTTGATATAATTTTCTTTGCTCCTTTGATTGGTCCTCTATGTCTTAAAGTTTGGGCTGGAGGGAATTGGGTGCCTTGAGATTACTGTTCAGTTGATAAAATGCTGTTGGCAACAGAAATGTTTGTTTTTGTGAGAATGACCACAGAGGCTAAAAATTGAGAGTGTGAAGTATGTGTTAGAATAATGTTTATGCATTTGTATATGTGTGAAGAATATGAGCCGGGATAGCTCAGTCAGTATAGTGACTGGCTACGGGCTGGACGACTGGGGTTCAGTCCCCGACGGGGGCAGAGGATTTTTCCTCTAGCCTCTGCGTCCAGACCAGCTTTGGGGCCCACCCAGCCTCCTGTCCAATGGGTACCGGGATCCTTTCCCTGGGGTAAAGCCGGTCGGGGCGTGATGCTGACCGCTCACCCCCCCTCTAGTGCCGAGGTCAAGGAAGAGAGGAGCTATTCCTCCACTCCCCCCAAGCGCCTGCATGGCACGTAGCAGGACAGCTTTACTTTACTTTTATATGTGTGAAGAATAATGTGACGCTTGTTGGTGTAGGTAACTGGGTAGTTTGGAACAAGGTGTTTTTAGTAGGTCATTGTGCAAAACGTATGTTTGAATTTGCTCATATGTACAGATTGTTGAAGCATGCTTATGGTGTTAAAAATATAAAGGAGATCGTCGACTGAGGAAAATGAATTTGTTGTACCAGTGGCAGATGTCCTTTCAATCAACATTAACATATAAAGGTTTCTGGAGTATTGAGGTGTTTGTTTTGAAGACCTTATATATAAAATAACATTGTAGTTTAAAATTTTTTGTATGAATTTGCAGTGAAATGTAGTACTGTCAAGTTCTTATATGGCTGTGTAATGCATGTATTGGTATATGTTTGATCCAGAAATCTAGAATTGAATAATTCAGATTTTTTGAATTGCCAGATTATGGAACATAAATGTATATGAGATAATTTTAATTGTTATACGAGGATATTCTTTTCAACAGAAAG